CTCTCTGTAAAGTGGGCCTCCCGCATGGGCTTGCTATGAGAATGACGTGTGACAGACTCAGCACATGCTGACTGCCTGATCAGTGAGTGCTTTTTTCCATCATTCTCCTATCGAGAATAATTTGTATTTAGCGCCAACTGTGGACCAGGCCATGGGCTGGGCTGCGGATGTAGTGGAAAGGAGACTGACACCTGCCCTGCCTCATGGGGCGGGGTCTGGCATGTAGTGCAGGGACAGGGCTGAGATCAGGTCCCCAGGCCTTGGGCTCCCCTGCCTCCCAAGCTGTTAGGTTGACTGTTCCTTTAAGAGTGGGGAAAGGAGCTTGGGGAGGGACTCCAGCTCTGCAACGCTGAGAGAGGATGGTCAGGGGCTGGGTCCTGGGCTCCACGTGTGGCGGACAGGTTGGGCATCTGTCACTGCCACCACTTAGCACCCCCCGCTCCCCACTGAGGTGACTGGTCCTAAAGCCAGGGTGGGTAGCAGGCCTAAAGACCTGAAGGGTGCTCCTTCCTAAATTTATCAAATGGTTTTGACACAAGTTCAAGGCTGGCAGCCTTCACTTTGTGAACTGGGCAGGGGGTGGGGCACAGCAAAGCAAGAAAGTAGTGGGCAAATGGGAGTCTGGAATAAAGGAGAGAAGGAGAGACAAAGAGACAGACAACAAGGGAAAGGAAGGGTGTCCAGGTTGCGCCCAGTTCTAGGAAAATGCAAAAAGGTGGGATGTGATGGGCTGGATGGCTGCCCTGACTTGACCCTGCCAAGACCCTGGCCTGAGCCTGAACATGGCTTGTGTGGACTTGCTCATCTGTTTTTTTAAAAAAGTAGTTTTAAGGGCCGGCCGAGTGGTTCAGTTGGTTAAGAGCTCACTCAAGAGTGCGAGCTCTGAGCAACAGGGTTGCTGGTTCGATTCCCGGTCCGAGCTGAGCTGCCACTGAGCTGCCAAGAGGTGGCAGGATGGCTCAGCTAAAAAAAATATATATATAAAAAATAAAAAGTAGTTTTATTGAGATATAATTCACACAGCATAAAATTCACCCACACAAAGTATATGCCTCAGTGGATTTTTTTTTTAGCATATTCAGAGTTGTGCAACCATTACCACAATCTAATTTTAGAATATTTTCATCGCCCCCAAAAGAAACCCTGTACCCATTAGCAGACACTTTCTACCCCCTCTTTTCTAGCCCTAGGCAACCACTAATGTACTCTCCATTTCTATAGATTTGCCTATTCTGGACATTTCACAGAAATGGGGTCACACAATAGGTAATCTTTTGTGACTGGCTTCTTTCACTTGGTATGATGTTTTCAAGTTTGTGCACGTTGTCGCTGTATCAGTGCTTCAGTCCTTTTATTGGACTCATCTCTCTGATTGACACAGGCTGGGGCAGCCGCAGTTGTGCCCCCGATCTGGAAGCAGCTTGTACCCCCCTCCCTTATTCACTGCACAACCTGCCCAGGGNTCTACTACCCCTTGGAACCTGGGGCTGCGTCTGCTATGTTTTCTTCCTGTCTCACTGCTACCCAAGGACCCACCATGACACCCTTCTGTTGGCCCCTGGTTCCAGCATTCAAGGTCTCTGCAGCGCATTGAGCTGGCATGCACCTGCAGGCCTCTGGGTCCCCATCTCCTGCTTATTCCTACTGCCACCTTTGCTCACACTGTTCCTGCTTCCCCGCCGCCTTTCCCTGCCTATCTAAATCCTCCCTAGAGCAAGGCTGGGGAAAGGGAGTTTCTGGGGAGATGAGGGTAGAACTCCAGAACCGTGGGGGCTGGTCCAGCTACCAGCTAAGCCTCATCACTACCCTCTGTGCAATTCTGTTCCTAGCATTTATGCCCAAACTTGAAGGTGAGGCCTCTGGCATAGGGGGCACATGGGATAAGCTGGGGATTTGGTGGGCCTGAAAGAGGTGTGGGGCGGACCCAGGGTGATGTTGAAGGCCTGAGGCCCGTGAAAGGCAGAAGGACCGCTGGAGTATGGGGAAGGGGGGGGATTGGTGGGACCAGCCTGATCGACTAACCAACCACCCAACCCTGCGAGTAAAAACAGGCATGCATGCGAGGCTCCTCTCTGCAGCGAAGGTGAACAGGCCCTAATCTCCGGAAAATTAAATCAGAAAGAAAATGGAACGAGAAAGATTTGATGCAGTCTGAGCCCTGCTGCTGGCTGTCTCAAAGGCCCAGGCTCTGTTGGGGGTTTGGCTGGGTGCTCCAGCATCCCGGCCCCTCGCTCTGCGCAGGGCACTGGGAAGGGAGGGCAACAGGCAGGAGGTAGGGAGCTGAGCCCCGTCATCTGACCCCCCCCNCAGCAAGACGTGGTGAGGCCTCGGGCATCTGATGGGGGGAGAAGATGGGGGCCCAGGTGCCTCCAGAGCACCTGCCCACTCAGCACCTGGCAGTCCAAGGGTTAAAGCTCAGCACAAAGCACTCGGGCAGTCTCCTCCTCCCACCCCCATCCCTCCCTCCGGCTTCTTTTCTTTTTGTCCTTCTCTTAGAACAAAATAATTTGTGGTGAAGTTGCTCCTTCCCACAGAGCAGGGCGATTAGAGGGCAGGGAGGATGGAGGCCCCAAGTGGGCACCAAGCCAGG